GCATGAACGCATTCGAACTGTTTCAAGCAAAAATAAACCTTACACCATATCACAAGAGCACATGGTACTTCGTAGGTCCATTCGGCCATATGATAGTAAAAAGACGGTAGTTCAACCATTTTAAGCAAAATTAAACAATAAGACAAACGCATTGTTTTCTTTTAACATGAGACGCGTTAAGCAAAATTAAAGCTGGCTTTTCACTACATATGGGATATAATATATATTATATCCCGAAATATAAATTATATCCCGCGCTTGGCTTTCACACTGTGAGATATATCTTTTAACCAGTGTGCGTTCGTCATTGGATTACCCCCTGTACCCCGCACACCGTTCCGATAAAATATAATATGAAAATATCGCTCTGTGGATCGAAAAAATATTTATAGTTTGAGATGTAATATATATTATAGCTCAGTGTAAACGGTTCCATTTAAAAGTATGGTAAGCCATATTAATTTATATCTCGAGATGTAACATATATCATATAATATTCCATAGTGAAAAGCGGGCTTTAACATAAAGACAAACTCATTGGTTTTTTTTAACAGGAGACGCATTAAGCAAAATTAAACAATAAGAACAACCGCATTGTTTTTTTTTTTAACAGGAGACGTGTTTTCCAGAAACTTGGTTACAACTTGAGTTTTTGAGCGATCGCAATGAGTACTATTATTTGTTACTTATTAGAGTATTTTTCCGCAACATGATTTAAAAAAAACTACACAGTAAAAAGAGTACCAACTACAAGTTGAAAAAGGTTGTCAACCCCTGAAAATTTCAAATTCTCAAAATATCCAGAATAAAAGCTGTAGGCATAAACTACTTACAAAATAATGAATATTTTGTTTTGGATAAATCTTCCAAAAAACGCAATTTGAGCGAGTTATAACGATTTTTAAAATTACACGACTCGCTTGTCATACGCCACAGCAAAATTGTTGATAGCACGCCTGGCGTGCAATCCACACTGGATCGGTTAAAGCATATTTATTCTAAAGATATAACTTATCACAAATTAAAAAAAAATCCCAAGCTAATGCAAATTATACATTTTATGATCGGTTTCTTATTCCGACTTCAAATACGAGGGGTGATCCAAAAGTAATGATAATGAAAATAAAACACGGTAGTTAAAGTTAAAATAATAATTTATTTTTCTACAAAGTCTCCTAACAAATCAATACAATTAGTCCATCTTTTTTCTAAACCCAGGATTCCCTTTGAAAAAATTTTTTTGTCTTAATCCTCCCAAAACGCTTCAACAGCGGCCATTACTTCGCTAGCGTCTTCGAATTTCTTGCCTCGGAGGCGTTCCTTGAGCCGAGGAAAGAGGTAGAAATCACTAGGAGCTAGATCTGGCGAATAAGGAGGGTGTTCGAGCAGTTCGAATCCCGTTTCTTGAATGGCAGCCATCGCAACTGCGGCTTTGTGAGCCGGTGCGTTGTGTTGGTGAAACAGCACTCCAGCTCGCAGTTTGCCGCGTCTTTTTTCCTCAATGGCCTCCCATAATCTTCTTATTTGGTCTGCGTAGTAAGAGCCCGTAATAGTGGCTCCCTTTTCCAAATATTTCACCATAATTATGCCTTGAGCGTCCCAAAACACAGATGCCATAACCTTTCCCGCCGAACTTGAAACTTTGAATTTCTTTGGCATCGGTGAGGAGGCTCGCTTCCAAGTCATCGATTGTTGTTTCGTTTCAGGATCAAAATGGTGGATCCAGGTCTCGTCCATAATCACAAAACAGAACAAAAAATTTTCTTGATCTGCTTGGAACTTTTCGAGATTGACCCTCGAAATGTCAACTCGATTTTTCTTTTGCTCGTCGGTTAACATTCTGGGTACCCAACGCGCAGAGACCTTTTTCATATGCAACTCGTTCGCAAGGATTCTTTGAACGCTGCCATATGAGATCCCTGTGACCTCAGCTACATGCCTGATGGTCACTCTTCGATCTGCCAACACAACATCTTATACTTTTTTCACGTTGTCTTCAGTGAGGGACGTGGATGGGCGTCCTTCGCGATGTTCATCTTCAGTGGATGTTCTGCCCAGTTTAAACTCCTTAGCCCAGCGTGCAACTATAGAATATGGAGGAGCAGAGTCCCCCAATGTTTTCACTAAGTCACTATGTATGTCTTTTGAAGACATTTTTTTCAGAGGTACTTGATGACAGCTCTAATTTCGTTTTTCTCCATGTTGATGTTATCTCTTTGACAGTTCGCATTCAAATGGATGTATCTCCCGGAAATCATGATCTATTTATATGATTTTTTTTAGGCTGACGTAGTGAATATATAAGCAAGCAAAAAAATTTTTTTTGGATTTTTATGCGAACCTGAAGTAACCGATTATCATTACTTTTGGATCACCCCTCGTAGGATATAATCAGACACACTTCCTTAGATACTAATCATATTTAGAGACAAATATAATAAAGATGTGTTTATGAAAAATCGCACTTTTCTTTTTAATGCTTACCTCACCTGCCTGTTTGAGCTAACAGGCTCTGGTGGCCGCTTTGTGGCTCAAATCTATCTTAAGACCGGTCACCCAGCATCATTTATTACCCAGGATGATTAGTATGGTTAATCTCCCACTCCCGATGCATGCAAGCTGGCGCATACTTAAAACGCCGTAACTCCAGCAGTAACTAAAGACAGGAAAGGCCGGTGTTAATAATAAAATAACAGACTCTAAACAGACACTTTATTTGGTTTTAAATTGAAACGGTTACACGATATTATTATGTGTCCCTAATTAAAGCTAATACATATATTTATGATACTTATTTACTAAGCAAAAACGATTTCTTTATAACAAACTTAATTTGGTAGACAAATATTTAAAATTAAATCATATGGCACCTAATGTCCGTAGAGGAACACTACTTAAGGAACTTATTATATAATACCAAGAATTATTATTATTCCTAATAATTATTAATAAAAATTATAATAATACTTAACGTTAACACTGGCGGACAAAATGATAAATGCAAAAAAATTGCACATTAATGCAATACTAACTAGATAGAATGTTTTACATCAAGATAGAAAATATTTTATAGTTGTATAGTTTACATTTATTTCAAGGTTTCTAATAATCAATAAATATAATTTAATAATATTTATTTGTGACAAAATTCGAGATCATACATAGACAATTCAATAAATGCTGAGTTACTTTAACATAACTTGAAACCAGATATGAGTGCTTGAAGGCTTTTTCATAGTTAAGTGAAGTTTCGACTTATATGCGTCCCACTTCTGGCCTCGTCTCATTTCTAAAGATGTTGGCAGACTTCACGTATTTTAAAATATTTTTGTTCCTTCAAACTGTCTTTTTAATCCAGAATATTAGAAATTATTCTAATATCATTAAATCCACATACAATGAATGGGGAATTCCTTATTACATTCGCACCAGTTTATGGCGACACATAAAGTACGTCCTGTATCTTGCATTGTTTTAATTAAATATCTTCTTCCATGCGTAATATTCAAACAGGGCAATCATAAAATAATTATTTATTTAAAAGAGTTTGCGCCACTCGTACACTCAGTTTCAAGTTACGCTGAGCACTGCCATAGTTGTTTATTTGTTCATCCTACAAGAGGATTGACTTAAAGATATTAATATTTACGTTACGTTACGTTATTTTAATAATTATGCCACTTAAGTCGACATTGGAATAATTATAACATTTCGGAATGCTTCAAATTCGATACTTTACTTTTCAACGACCTCTGAACGGACGTATATCGTTCAATTATTTTTTCGTAACTTCAAAACTTTTTTATAGTAGACGCCATTGTTCGTATGATAAAACGATTCGAAGACGACAGTCGCGGGCATAACCATAAAACGATTAAGCTAGGGTTGTGCACGTGCAATATTCATTGTCGATAGTTTCGTAGTGGTCTGAAAAATCAATATATCGATATTGATATTTTATTTGATATCTGTACTGAAGAAAATTTCAATTTGGTTCGTACGGCGCTGTTGATGGCCGATTACAAATTGTCTATATTTCGAACCAATGCGGCGTAAAACTAAAAGTATTTACGAGCGAAGTCTATGAGATGACTTCTATAAGTTCAATTACATAAAGAAAAAGAAATTTCCAGTTAACTTATTTTCAATGTTTATATCGTTGTCCATTATGTATAATTTTGCGGATAATGTTTAAAATGTAATTGTAATATGAAATTGTACTTATTAAATGACGCCACGCAACCCGTATTATTTTATTTCATAAGATTTTAGTTATGTTCTGCCTTCTTTTCATTTTTAGAACATAATAAAAGTATACATAATATTAACAATTTCTTTTGTTTGAGTTATCGATAGTAATGCAGCACATCATTAGGCATTCCATAAGACCAGTAGGTGTGAGGGAGAGTGCAATATCATTGTTGCTATTCACATGTTTTATGGCCGCGACTGCCGCGAGCGTTGGCATCTCCTATAGTTTATTTAATTGTTAGTTTCTTTGGTAATTATAAGGCGTTGTATAATTTTTTATTATTACAGCTAAAACTCCGTTTTGTGCAGCGCTTTTGTCTCCATTTTCTACAGTGTTAAATTTTTTATTTACTTTTTTATCAAAGTATATCCATTCCTTGGCAATCTCTACTGAACTATATTTAATGTTTACTTGTCTAATAGCTATATAACTTTATTAATAGACTTTTTAATAAAAATACTAGTAATGCTATTAACATTACTAATATTCCGTTCGACCACTCCTGATAAGCTTAATATGCTTGTGTTAGGAGTGATTCACAACAGTAGTCGAATAGCGGCTTCGAACTCACGACTTTTAGAGTTCGCGGTCCGTACCATGCCATTAGGCTACTGTCGCTTAAACAGAAAATTTATCAATTAACACATTTAGATGATTATAAAGATTACACATAGATATACGAATATTTGCCGAAATCCTACATTCACAGGTCAGGGCAAGCTACGGTCTAAAGCGAACTGTGTGAGATTTAGGCGCTCTTTTTCTTTTCGTACTCCAGCAGCTCTCCCAGGTTCCCTATCTCGATCTCGTGGATGTGCTTGCCCGAGAAATGCATGTAGTCGTGAGACGGTTCGTCGGCTGAACGCTTGCGAACTGAAACCACAAGTCAGATTACAATTTTATTATAATAATAGTAATATAATAGTATGACAGACCGAGTTCGGTATACGGGTCTACTCCCGGTCAGCCTCTCGGGTACATGTGGTGCGACTGGGACTCCGTGACGAACCGCTAAGGGCTCAAATACTGTAGGCGATACTCCTCGATACCGCCCACATCGTCCGCCGGTTTTTTCCCTTTCCCCCTAACCCTCGGCCGTTTGGTCTCCCCTGCCGAGGGCTTCCATCTGGGTGGGCGTTTATTTATTTATTTATTACTAGCATTCCGCCCCGGCTTCGCACGTGTGATTTCTGAATCTCGACAACAGTGCCACCTACTGGGTCCGATTGTGAATCGTTTAGATCATCCAGGGACCCACTCAAACACACACTAAAAATTTCATCAACCGGTCCAGCCATTTACGACCAGGGCCCCCGCTACCATATGTGCAAAGTGTGCAATGCACACGGGCGCCATCCTTTAGGGGCGACAAAACCCAGGGTCAAAAATTGCAAAAATTTCTAAAAAAAAAAATTTATTTTAAAATAAAAGTTGAGAAATTAAATAGGATTAGGTATAAAGACACACGAAATTTTATTAGTATATCATCCAGTTACTGCCGATTCCTATGTTGCGAGAAAATGTCAGGCGGTAGTTTCTTAATTTTTCCTGTTCAGACATAAACAATGCCCGGAGCGCTATAAAAGCGATGCATTGAACTGACGCCAGATTGAGCGTGTAACCTCCGACTAAAAAACCGATTTGACTTATTAAATGAGTATGATAATATTTTCGGATTTTTAGCGACATATTCAGATTAAGTTTTATTTATTTTATTTTATTTATTTATTTATTACAAAGTATAGTTATTTAATAACATCCGACAGTACAAATAAACTTACAAAAGTTTTTCCATGTACCGCCAATTCGTAACTTCGATCATGTTCAATCGGTTCGCGTTGCGACAACTTATTTATTGACGTATATAAATGCTGTGACAAAATAGCAAGATGTTTTTTTTATCTAGGTGTGTACCAAAGCAAAATAATATGGTTAGTATTAAATGAAAATTAGTAAATTAGTAAATTTTTTATTTATGTATATTATATTATTGTGTGTGTTAGTGTTATATGTTTAGTTTTATATTTTAGTTTAAGTTATTATTAGGAATCGTTAACAGTTTGTCGATAAAATACTGTTTAAGCATATATTTAATATTTTTTTCAGTAAGTTCATTTTTTATTGGTTTGGGAATTTGGTTCAAAAGAGCGGGAATTTGATATTGTAATCTAAATTTTCCGTACATATTTTTATATTTTGGGATAATCATATATGGATTAAGGGCTTGTCGAGTAAGTTTTGTATAAATACGGCTAATTTTTAATTCTTCCTTGCCATAATTTTCAAGTAGCAATAGGTATTTTACTTTGTCGTGTACTGGTAGTATTTTGCAATGATGGAAAAGACCATAAGGATTTTTTTTATATTTATCTTTTATTTTGAGAGGGGTAATACATTTAAGGATGCGCAACTGTAGCTCGTATATTTTTTCAAGGTGGGTTTTATAAGTGCGTCCGTAACTGCTCAACCCGTACGAGACTATTGATTCGCCGAGTACATTATATAGTAACAGTAACATCTTGTAAGGTACTTTACTCTTGATGAGATAAAATTTTGCAAGGATTGCTCGTAGCTTATTGCATACAGATTCAATGTGATCAGTCCATTTCATACGATCATCAATTATTAAACCTAAATTTTATAAAATTAAGTGACAATGATATTTTAAAACATTGTTCTGTTCTTGAAGAATGACTGACAGATCAGTATAATAAGAATAATATAGACTCCAATGATTTGTTTAATGAAATTAAAGCGTTAAAGTTGTTTTCATTACCTGATGATACTCGTACTGACCCCTTAAGTATTTTACAATATATATTTGAAAACAATTTAATCTCCACCTTTCCAAACGTAAGCATTGCACTAAGAATTCTTCTGACATTACCTGTATCTGTAGCTTCTGGCGAGCGATATTTTTCAAAGTTAAAAATCATTAAAAATTATTTAAGATCGACAATGCTTCAAGAAAGATTGTCTGGGCTAGCGATATTAGTAATTGAAGAAGAAATTTTTGATGGTATAAATTTTAGCGAAGTAATTAATGAATTTGCAGTAGCAAAGTCTCGGAAAATATCGCTGCTACAATAGCTATTTTGTATTTTTCTATTGTACCTAGCTATCATTTTTGATTTTATAACGAAGTTACCTAGGTATTTTTTATCAGAAGTATCTGCATAGCATATTGCATATTTTTTTAAATATCTACGTATTAGTAGAAAGTAGTACTTAAATATATGTAGAAATTAGGCCATATTTGTTTGTTTAGTTTTGGGTTATTTTCTAGTATTTATACACAACGTGTCTGTACCCCATTAGTTAAGTAAATGCTTTAAAATGGGTGAACAAGAATTTATTTTGTTATGATTTTATTCTGTTTGTTTCATTTTGATATTTTAGTCTAGAAATAAATATGACTATGACTTCTAAAGTTCAGTTTTTTGCTTTATTTCAAGCACCTAACTACCTACCTAACTTTAAAAAAATAAATAAAAAAAACATGATTCAAAATGACTTAACTGAATGAATGAAAAATATTTCATTCATTCAGTCATACATATCATTCAAAAAAATATTTCATGACACGTCTGGCGTGTCATCAGTCATGTGTATGCTTTTTTTCACTTGTTTAGACCTAATTAAGTTTAGTTGAATCAAACATCAGTTACAAACGGAAGGATACTTGTTTTAAGTGGGTAACTACGTGTTTTCTTTGAAAATGAGAATAAGTGACTTTTTTTTATGCAGAGATTACTAACATTTTGTACTATTTTTTGTTTTGTAAAAAAAAACATTTATACAAGTAGGTACAGCTAAATCACCCTGGAATACCTTGGTTTTTATTAAATTAAATTTTCACCTAATAATAACATTTGTAAATATTAAACAATCAAGAACCTTAATTTGGAAAAAAAATAAGGTTTATGATTCATTAATATTTACAATAGTTAAATATTATTTAATGTTATACAAATGTAAAAGTATAATCGATTTTAAAACGTCTAATTAGTAAGAATAGCAAAACAAGTGTTTTCAAAAGGAAACAAACGCCGGCGCTAAACTTTTTTATGCATGAACGGTTTCAAGCAAAAATAAACCTTATACCATATCACAAGAGCACATGGTACTTCGTAGGTCTATTCGGCCATATGATAGTAATAAGACTGCAGTTTTTTTTTTAACAGGAGACTTGTTTTCCAGAAATATATTTACAATTTCAGTTTGTGAGCGATCGCAATGAGTTCTATTATTTGTTACTTATTAGACTATTTTTCCACAACATGATTGAAAACCCACAAAGTAAAAAGAGTACCATGTACAAGTTAAAAAAAGGTTGTTAACCCCTAAAAATTTCAAATTTTCAAAATATCCAGAAACGAAGCCGCAGTCATGAACTACTTACAAAATAATGAATATTTTGTTCTGGATAAATTTTCCAGCGAGGCGAGGATGGAATTACAGCGGAGCTTCTGAAAGCGGGTGGGAAAACCGGTACTTGAAGTCCTTCAGAAGCTCTTTAATTCCGTCCTCCATGGTGTTATTACACTGGAGGCGTGGAGCAGAAGTGCGGTGGTCTTGTTCTTCAAGAAAGGTGACAACGCTCTCTTGAAGAACTACAGACCGATTTCCCTTCTGAGCCGCGTCTACGTGCTGTTTTCGAGAGTCATTACGAATCGTCTTGCGCGCAGACTTGACGACTTCCAGCCTCCCGAACAAGCCGGTTTCCGAAAGGGCTTTAGCACTATAGACCACATACATACCCTTCGGCAAATTGTACAGAAGTCCGAAGAGTACAATTTGCCACTATGTCTGGCGTATGTGGACTATAAGAAAGCCTTTGATTCCGTCGAAATTTGGGCGGTGCTGCAGTCCCTTCAGCGGTGCCAAGTTGACTGTCGGTATATCGAAGTGTTGAAGTGCTTGTACAATAGGGCTACGATGGCTATCCGAGTACAGAACCAGAGTACGAAACCTATCCAATTGCAGAGAGGTGTAAGACAGGGTGACGTCATATCCCCGAAACTCTTCACCGCTGCATTGGAAGACGTTTTCAAGCTTCTGGACTGGAAAGGATACGGTATCAACATCAATGGCGAGTACATCACTCACCTTCGATTTGCCGACGATATAGTCCTTATGGCAGAATCGCTGGAGGATCTAAGCACTATGCTCAATGACCTCAATAGTGTTTCCCAACGCATAGGTCTTAAGATGAACATGGACAAAACAAAGATCATGTTTAATGTCCATGTCACACCTATGCCGGTAGTTGTTGGGAACACTAAGCTCGAAGTTGTTGACGAGTATGTTTACCTGGGACAAATAGTCCGACTAGGTAAGTCCAACTTCGACCGAGAGGTCAATCGACGGATTCAACTCGGCTGGGCAGCGTTCGGGAAGCTACGACACATCTTCTCGTCAGACATACCTCAAAACCTTAAAACGAAATTGTACAACCAGTGCGTGTTGCCAGTGATGACTTACGGAACTGAAACGTGGTCCTTCACTGCTGGCCGTATGAGAAAGCTCAAGGTCGCTCAGCGAGCTATGGAGAGGGCTATGCTCGGGGTTTCTCTGCGTGATAAACTTAGAAATGAGGATATCCACAGTAGAACCAGAGTAACCGACATAGCCCAACGGATTAGTAAGCTGAAGTGGCAGTGGGCCGGCCATATAGCTCGAAGAACCGACAACCGATGGGGAAGAAAGGTTCTTGAGTGGCAGCCTCGTACCGGTAGGCGAAGTGTAGGGCGACCCTCCACTAGATGGAGTGACGACCTGGTAAGACATGCAGGAAGTCGATGGATGCAGGTGGCTCAGGACCGTACTTTGTGGCATTCCTTGGGGGAGGCCTATGTTCAGCAGTGAACTTATGAAAGGCTGTAATGATGATGATGATGAGTATATTTAATATATATATCATTTCCTTTTATATATGTATTCAGCCCAACCAGACGAGAATACTCTATATATACCCTTATTAAGTGGCGAAGCTTGCGAAGTCACTTATTGATGTCCCACGATTATCTCGAGAACGGTTTCGAATTTTCAAATTCTGTTCTCAGCAATCGATTACTGATCACCCAGGCATCTGAACCTCCTATTTTGAAACTGATTGCTCAACGGCAACCGTTAGAAACCGCTACAAAGCTGATTGCTTCGCCACTTTGCTATGCTGTTAGCTTGCTAGGTTTATTAGTCTTATAAGTTAGTGTGACAGTAAACGCAAAAAAGTGGTAATATATTTGTGAATTTGTAACGTAATAGATGAAGTTAATCATAATATGCATTTGTAACTGCAAATAATGGTGTAATTGGAAAAGACTAGTGTCTAAGATATAGGTTCGGTCTAGTTTAGACGCTAGTGTATAAAATTGTATAACTCATAACCTTTGTTCAAATGTCTCAAGGATAAATAATGTACGTGGGGCACACTGAAATGATCGGGAATTAGAAAAATCACATGAACGGTATAGCTAAATTGTATTTTATTGTTTTTCGAAGTGTTCGCCGTCCAACTTAATGCACTTTTCTATTCGTGCAAACCAATCATTAAACAGTAATTCCAGTCTGAAGTTGATGTTGACAAAATGGCTGATTTGTACGCTTCCGTTGACCGCGTAATACATCTTTCATTCTAGGGAATGTAAAGAAATCGTTTGGGCTCATGCCAGGACTGTACGGATGATGGCTCATCAGCTCAACGTTTTCCTGCTTCAAAAAATCATTTGTCTTCCAAGCCGTATGGAAGCTCGCATTATCGTGATGTAAGATGATGCTACGTTTTGGGTTATTTTTTCGGAGTTCGGCTATCATTTCTGGCAAACAAACCGTGATATACCACTCAACGGTAACCCTTCTTGCGTTCCTGTAAAGGAATTGTAGCAACATGCCCCTTTTTTTGAGACAAACGTAGCGACCATTTTCTTTGACACGCTGCGGGAGCGAACCACTTTCGTTGGTTTAACCTCGTCTTCGAAGACCCAAACTACTGACTGATGGTTTCTTTCAGGTTCATATGAATAAATCCATGATTCATCACCTGAGACGATATTATAAATGGCATTTGACTTCCCTCCGTTGAAGCGTTGCAGAATATTCCGGCACCAATCTACACGAGCCGCCTTTTGCTCTTCGGACAAATTGTGGGGAACCTAGCGGGAAACTAGCTTTCTTAGACACAGCTCATTATGTAATATCGACTGAATTGCAGCCATTCCGATACTGATAACAGCCCGAATCTGTTCGTATGTCACATGACGGTCATCTAATATCTAATAGTTCGCACAGCTGCGATGTTCTTAGGCGTGACCGCTGTTCGACCTGCAGAAGAAACAGTGCTGAGCCACACACGATCGCGTCGGAACTCGGCATACCAGCGGTTTATTGTCGTTTGACTCGGTGCTTCAACATCATAAATCGAAACAAGTTCGCTGAGACATTCATCTTGAGATAAGCCGCGACGAAAATTGTGATAAATTATGGCACGGAAATGTTCACGCGTGAGCTCCATTTCTGTTAACGACGTGTCAACTTTAAACCAACATAGTTTTTGTTTTTAAACATTGTTTTAAATTGTTTGAATGTCATTAAGATTCTAAGAGGCCAGTATTCAAATTCTAAAAAAGGTTTTATTGTAACTCAATCCGAAATATTGTATTCCCGATCATTTCAGTGTGCCCCTCTGCAAAACCTTACTTAGTGGCAATATAATTTGTTATAATTATTATAATTTGTTTGAATTAAATTTATTTCCGTGTTGGGGGAGGCGTAAGGGAGTCCTTCCATAGCGTTTGGATGAATAGCGGTCCATCACTGTGCGATTTACTAGAAGTTTTCCTCTTCGCACAACTTCCTTGTGGAATCGACTACCACTACCTATTTTTCGGAACCGATACGACGTAGAGCCCTTCAAGAAACGAGCTTACTGCTTTTTAAAACGCCGGCAATGCATCTGCAATTCCCCTGGTGCTGCAGTTGTTCATGGGCGGCGGTAGTCACTTACCATCAGGTGAGCCGCACGCTAGTTTGTCCCCGCTTATATAAAAAAAACATGCGTGAGTGTCGTGGAACACTAAGTTGGAACGAAGTTTCTTTCGTAGTATATAATTATTGATAAACATATTATATTATTATTGATTAACAAATGCAAACAAATGAATTATTAATGTCTATTAAAATGAAGCGTCATTTAAAATAAAATAATATTTCATTCATGGCAAGATAAGAAAGAGTGCGAGGGTGATGGATATTATTCCATCTTGCTTTCTTTTAGCCGCCAAGGCCATCTCCATCATCAAACAAGGGTTTGTGACGGAAAAATCTTACACACCTAGCCCACATCCGCCAAATTCGTACCGTGGTAAGGAACTTCGTTCCAAAAAAGAATCTCATCTCGTCGCGTGGGTGTCGTAAGAGGTAACTGTAGGAATAGGAAATGCCAGGAAAAATATGGATTTTAACATGGATTTAATTAAAATCTATACGTGGTAGAGCCATGCTGCAGCTGTATTAGTAGTATAGTTGTAGCACGAATGAGTCAACTCGACCGGGGAAGGACCACGCTCCCATAGAATACCAGCGTAAAATAGCAGCGTAACACTGTTGTGTTTCGTATGGTGAGTGTAGAGAACCGGAGACCCTTTTTACTGGAAGAGGCATTCCATCTTAGTCCTCACGGGTGACAACGCATCTGCATTTTGATTTTTTATTGAGGATAAATGTAGATGTCTTATGGGTCATAGCGACCACTTACCATCAGGTGGACTGTGTGCTCGTTTGTCACCCTATTATATTAAAAAAAAACAGACTGCAGCGGTCCAGTTTAAAGGATTAAGAAGGCTTAATTAATTACAAGCCATGAGGTATTTTATTATATACCTTCGTTGTTTGAAATAAGCTGCAAGTATCGATAGGCTATATTCATTACAAGTCTACTGCTATACATAAGCCTCCCTAATATTACCTCATTTTTGCCACGCTTGGCAACCAATTTTTAATAATTGTGAATTGTTAATTGGAATACACTGTTGCCCATCTCCTGTTTCCGTTTTATTTCGTTTTATTTTATGTGGTAGAGCCACACTGCAGCTATATTATGGTTGTAGCACTAATGGATCGGTGAGCACGAAAAGTCGGCAGGCACTAAAGGGTGACAAACGAGCACACAGTTCACCCAGTGATAAGTGGATGCTGTGGCTTATAAATGTCTACATTTATAATCAGTTAAGAATCAAAACGCAGTGGCATTGCCACCCCTGAGGACCAAGATGGAATGTCTCGTTCCCAATAAAAGGGTCTCCGGTTCTCTACACAAATCATACGTAACAAAGCAGCATCAAGCTGCTATTTCACGCTGATATCCTATGAGCGTGGTTATGGATGATCCATGGCCTCTACAAGTACTCTGTTCGTACGGAGCGCATTACGGAAGAGCACAGGGGTGTCACTTCCACTATGGAAGGTATGGAGCACTCCATACCTCAAGTTTTTCAAGGTATGGAATTCCATAGCTGAAATTAGGAAATAAATCGCATATTACTACAAACCCCATATAAATAAATCGCAAGCCCTTAAACCTCAATACCCCACATCTTATAGTTCAATAAATAAGTTGAGTATATACACTGCAAACTCTTAAACCTTAATACCCCACGAGTAATGCGAACAAATTTGAAAATCGCGCCACCATTTTCCATACCTCAGATTTTTACAAAGTGACACGCCTGGAAGAGCACGTGGTGTTTCTTGGACTAAGGATTTTTCCTCCGTGTAGTCACGCGACACAATAGGCAGTAAGTAGTTGTGGGCAAGAGTCGGAATAAATGTGAAATTAAGCACCTCACGGTGCAGTGGAGAGCAGGACAATGTGCGCGAGTAGAAGTGTGTGAGTAGAATAAAAAAAGAACAGAATAATGCTTATTCAATATAGAAGATTACAAGTAATTTTGGGTTGCGAGTACGTTGCGGGTACAGTGCGGCGGGTGCGGGTACAGTGCGGTGGTTGCGGGTACAGTGCGAGTTGGTACGGTACAATGCGGGTTGGTGCGGGTAACGTGCGGGGTAGCGGGGACAGTGCGGGGGGTGTGGGTGCAGTACGGGGGGTGCGGGTGCAGTGCGGGGGGTTCGGGTATAGCGCGGGATAGTGCGGGTACAGTGCTGCAAGTGCGGGTATAGTGCGGCTACAGTGCTGGGGGTGTGGGTATAGTGCGATATGGTGCGGGTATAGTGCGGGGGGTGCGGGTGCAGTGCGGGGGGTGCGGGTATAGTGCGGGTACAGTGCTGCGAGTGCGGGTACAGTGCGGCGTGGTGCAGGTACAGTGCTGGGGGTGCGGTACAGCGCGGTGGTGCGGGTACATTGCTGGGGGTGCGGGTACAGTGAGAGGGGTGCAGGTACAGTCCGGTGTGGTGCGGGTACAGCAGTGCAGGGTGGCGCAGGTACAGTGCTGGGGTGCGGGTATAGTGCGGGGTGGTTCCAGTACAGTGCTGGGGGTGCGGGTATAATGCGTTATGGTGCGGGTACAGTGCTGTGTGGTACGGGTACAGTGCGGGGTGGTGCAGGTACAGTGCTGGGGGTGCGGGTACATTGCGGGTGGCTCGGGTACAGAGCGGGGTGTGCGGGTACAGTGCAGCTAGTGTTACCGGGGCGCGCGGTGCGGCTCAGGCGGTAGGTGGGGCGCGAGCGGCACAGCGGCAGGGCCGGCTCGCGCACGGCGGGCAGCGCGGCGCGCAGCGAGGTGCGCACGCGTGTCACATCGAACCCGTGCCCACGCTCAATGCTCAGCACAAACGCGTCCGGCATCATCACCAGCTCCCGGTCCAGCTCCATCACGAAGCAGCGCTCCTCGTCCACGATGTCTGTAAGTCATCAATAATCATAATATTACCATGTAGTGGCGGTGTAAGAATATCCTCTACCCCATATCATTCCATAGGTGTCATAAGAGACGACAGAGGGAAACAAATCAGAAAATGGACAGCAGCGTCTTCTAAATAACGACTAAAAATAAAAACTGCGGTTGCCAATCTGCTTGCCAAGCATGGTGACTATAGTCAATATCCCCAATATGGCAATATACAATCCCCAATATGATGCAATCTAGGTGGGAGGGAGACCTACTTTCAGCACTGGAATATAATATGCCGTAACTGTAATCATAATATATGGTTGAACTACGCTACGGCTGCGTTGTGGCTGCTTCTTAGGTCTAGTTTCGTAATCGTAAGCCGCAATTGCTGACAACCGAACTCAATGAAGTTTACGAATCCCCAGTCAGCCAGTTATTAGATTTTTTCATCAAAATTTATACTTTTAATAAAACAAATAAATTATATACAGGGTTATTTTGCAATAACCGGCCAAAGGAGATGTATGAAATTGGGTTGTTGACATCGTTCGTAACAGTTATACAAAAATATGTAGGTAATAATATAACGATAAATTATAAGCATAATTAAATGGTTTTTAATATCAGTCGCATTACCCCATAGCAAAATTCCATAAGACATTACGCTATGAAAGTAACTAAAATACACTAACCTAGCTGTAACCTAGATGTTTCACATACAGTTACATTATATCAATGAAAGGTCGTTCAGCGATTGCATCTAAAACTGTAGATATTACAAGCTTAATAGTTAAAACAGTAACTAAAAAACGCAACTGTGTTAAAAAGTTTTCAGAAAACAAGCCTTCCCCTCCTATTTTTTTTTGTATTTGCAGATGAATATATAAATATTATATATAGTCACTTCCATATTGAAAGACGAAACGAATCTAACGACACCTCATATGTTAAAATCCATTGGATTGTCTCCAACTTCTCGATGGCACTGCAGGCGACCTCGCGCACACTACACAAAACCCTCTTTTCCATCTTCCTCATGACTCTGCTTATGAACATGCTTAGTAAAGCATGTTCATAACGCAGTATTAACACGACTGGCCCGGAATACATCGGATTCTTTTATTCCGTTTATCCTTCACATCTAAAAGGTCATATATGCATTCTATTATAAAAATTGTAACATAATCGACGATCGTTTGGTCCAGTGGTTGATGATCCTGATTACTAAACCAACGGTCGACGGATTTGTACTTCACGTATTTAAATGTCTAAGTATATATGTGTTACATGTTTTCGAGTATAAATGTAGATGTCTATGGGCCACAGCATCCACATACTGTGGACTGTGTACTCGTTTGCCACCTCTATTCTATAAAAAAAAATGTATGCTGTTGGGTATAAGCAATTCGTGGTTCTGTCACCTTAAATAACACAAACGATACTTTGTTTAGGAGGTTAGGTACTTGGTGTATTAGTAAAATAATTTGTTGCCGTTTTTCATTCACGTTACCTTTACTTTGGTACTTTGTGCTTACCTAAAAATTGAACGATGATCTGTACATGTATAATGCCGATATGTAACTCAAAAGAAAGGTTAAACTAAATTCAAATTGGTAGTTTCGTTAAATATACACTATGATGTCACACGTCTTGCAAATATTTACTACAATGTTTAATTAAGGAAAATCTTTTAATAGGCATTAGACTGCTTATTATTAAATATTTGTATAATCATACTTTATAAGAATTTGATGTAGCTTTTCCTGAGATAAATATATAAACATAATATGTTACGGCAGAAAACAATCAAATATATAAATAACACTTACTGGTTAGGTTAGTAGTGAAGTCGTGGATAAAGTTGACTTGTTGTCCGTTGTTAAGAACAGATATCTTCTCAATCATGCCATCTATATCAAGTTCCTCACGCAGCATATTAACAAAGTTCTCAGTAGCGGTGTCGTCTGCGGTGCTAATAATTTGTACATCTGGCTCGGAGGACCAATGTAGCGGCACCACACGTGAGTTTGGCTCATTCTTAAGCGCATTCAGCTCCTGAAATGTATGTCACTAACTCAACAAACAAATTTTATTTCAGTGGCAACTGCATCTTAGTACAGGATTTTTTGAAGACACAGCGGTTCGCTATAGTAATCGGTCAAGCAGTACTAACATTTCCTGATAAACTAGCACGATATCACGGCACGAACGATGACCGGAACGATCATATCTAGAAGGGTAGTTTTGCCACAGTTGTGTTGCATCACGTTGCACGAGAATGTTCCCGAAGATAAGGGTCAATGTCCTCTGTCAAGTTAATAAAATGTATAGGCGTAAGAACAGATAATACTCAGTTATAGATGCAAGCAAGACGCAACCATATGTCTACGTACATAAATTTGCATATTGTAAATCGCGAGTGTTCTAATATTTTCCCATTGTAACAGTGCTACACATCTCTTATTGGGTATAAAAGCGTGCGCCGGAGATCAGAGAATTAATTATTTCGGAAACGCTATAGTGACTTCTTCTCCAGTAGTGAATACGAGCAATCGGCCTACGACATCTGCTATTATTAAGGGCCTCATCGAAGAAGTTTAACGATTTTGGACGACGTGATTGTACTCTTGCTGTGTGTATGGAGGAACACATCCATTTCTCATCTTCATCAACATTTTTACATACCGTACGTAACAGCATTGTTGGTGTTGATTTAAATAAAGAATTGCTACCTAAGTTTTCTTTTAAGAACACATTTAATCAAAATTGTAAAAAGTCAAATGCGACTACTATAAACTGGTCTCCAAAATATGAGTTTAACTTTTGTTCTGAACAAGCATTTTTCTGGAGTAATCACTTTCACAAATTAAGTAAACATTTTTTGGGTTCAGACGTGGCTACTATGATAATTTTTTTATATCTTATTTCGTCATAAAATATATAATATTCGTTTAACTAGAGGCATTGAAGCCTATGCCTAATTCATCATCATCATCATCATTACAGGGCCTTCACAAGTACACTGCTGAACATAGGCCTCCTCCAAGGAATGCCACAAAGCACGGCCCTGAGCTAAAAATAAATTAATAATAAATCCATAATGAAATGAAAATAAGCTCTGCAATAATCTATAAATAAAAATAAAATTGAAGTGTCTATTTGTAATATTGAAATAACTGGCTTCTATGAAGCTACATACTATCAAGACATAAATAACTTTTTGTCTGTCTGTCAGTCTGTCTGTCTATCCGGGATTATCCGAATCTGAATAGCTGAACCGATTGTGCTGAAACTTTACGAAAAACTAGAGGGCAATGCCACGAGAGGAATCTAGTGTGTATTTTATCCGAAAAACTTTAAGTTATTTAAAAAAATTATAATGTAAATGGTTTCTTAATATCTTAAGTCTAAATAACGCCACATTAATCGATCACATTTAGGCGAAGACAGTGCTGGTCGCTGGTAATAGAATAAAAATAAAAATTGAATTAATGAGGGCTAATAACAATTCGTTCACCAGATGTCGCTAGTAATAACAATAGAGAGGTCTGAGGCTAATAAAGAGACTTGTGGTGAAGTTGTTTGTTACACAAATGTCATATTAATACGTGGTAGAGCCATGCTGCAGCTATATTAGAAGTATAGTTGTAGCACGAATGGGTCGGCTCGACCGGGGAAGAACCACGCTCTCACAGAATACCAGCGTAAAATGCTGCTGTGTTTCGTATGGTAAGTGTAGACAACCAGATACCCTTTTTACTTGAAAAGAGGTATTCCATCTTAATCCTCACGGGTGACAACGCATCTGCATTTCGATCGATTTGAGCATAATTCTTTATCTTTAATTTGAATCCATGCTACGGACGGGGGATAGAATATGTCTACTCGTTATGTCAAACGGGGATATACTTCTCCCCGTTGCATAAGGTTGCAGATTGGTCAACGCAGTCCAATTGGAGATAATAAGCTTTCAGGTTCTATCTGAGGTTGACTACTTGGGCGCGCGAATATACAGTTAATAACTAAGCACTTCCCCATTGGTAAATTGTTAACTTTCTTACCGGAAACTATTGCGACAGACAGTAATTGAACATAAAACAAAATATGGAGCCATAGTTGAAACTAGTCGAATAGTTTCTTTTTTTTTTAAATTTTTTCCCCCCACAATAGGATTTTGTCCTATATCTTGGAGGCAGTTTACAAACACAAATTGCACAAGGACAAACATCCAGACCCAGAACAATTATTTGTAGGCCATACAAATACTTGTTCCGTGCGGGATTCGAACCCGCGGCTCCCAGCGCAACAACTCATTGCTAAGCCACTGCGCCACGGAGCCGTCTTCATTTATTGCAGGTCTAGTTGTTTAATGAACTAATTCCAAGTGAGAATGCTTGTTCACAATTTAAGACTTATGATATAATAATTGTGTTACTACAATCATCTACAAACGATGCTGAATGCATTGATATCAATATTTTTCGAAAAGTTTCATATTTCATGAAAAATTACAACTTTTAGTAATCTTAACGCATTGGTGATCAAGATTTTTCTAAAACTATTATATTTAATGAAAATTACAACTTTTAGTAATTATCAGAAGATTTTTCAGGACTACAAACGAATAAAAAGCATTACAATCATCTGCGTTGTTTGCAGAATATGTATCAATTATTATTTTTTTATTTTTTTGAGTTCGGGTTCCAAGTTCACACAGAGCTACTGTGTGCCCGTTTGTCACTCGTATTCTATTAAAAAACGATTTCTAGAGTATTAGATAAATGCACAAAACAAAGCCTAAGTGGATTGTTCCTTAATGTTTTTCACATTTTATAATTCTTCTTTTTTTCTTAATTTTTCTACTTTTAGGAATATCTGTAGTATGATTTATTCATTTCTTATCTAATCAATAGAAATGATTACTAATATTACTAAAGGAACTAACCCTTGCATTTTCCTAACAAATTAATTTCCCCGTCATTTAATTTGTCAAATATTTCACCTCGTTCCTAAGTGACGCCACACTGGTGACAAAAAAAGTCGTGGATTCATTTCATTAAATATTTCAAAACGACAATATTAAATACAGACACAGTGAGTAGTTTGAATGTAAATTCTATAGTTACTAGGTATATAATAGAAGTAGAATTTAATAGTTGAATGAGTAGCATTCGTACGTCATCGCTTAAGTGGCGTGGGGCACAGGGGTCCTGAATCAAGTCTTAAATTACCTGCCGCAGCAATGGAATGGAATTAGATTGGCGTAAAAATATTTGCATACGTTTTTTACCAACGTTTTATGATTTGTTTTATATATTTCTATTTTATCTTATTAGAAGAACAAGTGGTAAAATTAAAAATTTTGTACAACCGACTTCAGTATAAATAAAATGAGAACATCATCAATTTAGTCAATTAAATACGCAATAATAAGAATAACTCCAAAACTACTGGTCAGATCTTGATCTTTATATGGGACCACATGAGGAGCATCAGCTTTCAAATAAAAAAAGAATCATCAAAATCAGTTCACCTAGATAAAAGTTCTGAGGTAACACATAAAAAATACAGTCAAATTGAGTACCTCCTGCTTTTTTGATGTCGGTTAAAACATCAAGTAATACATAAAAGAATTAGAAGAAGAAGTCCAATTACAAGTTTTCACACATAGAATTAAAACAGTATACATATAACAAGTTGATGTAAAATAATAGATAATATACGCATATAATAGGGAGATCTAATTAAAGAAATAATGAGAAAGAATATTCTTTAATTTATGAACACATGAGACAATAATAATAAACATACGCATATTACAGGGATCTAGTTAAAAAATAATAAGATAGAATCTCCTTTAGTTTACGAACACATGAGGCAATAATAATAAACATACGCATATTACACGGATCTACTCGTAATATGAAAGCAACTCCTTTAGTTTACAAACACTAAGATAATAATAATAACCATATGCATATTACAGGGTTCTAGTTAAAGAAATAATGAGAAAGAATCTCCTTTAGTTTACGAACACATGAGGCAATAATAATAAACATACGCATATTACACGGATCTACTCGTAATATGAAAGCAACTCCTTTAGTTTACAAACACTAAGATAATAATAATAACCATATGCATATTACAGGGTTCTAGTTAAAGAAATAATGAGAAAGAATCTTCTTTAGTTTACGAACACTAGAGATAATGATAATAACCATATGCATATTACAGGGATCTAGTTAAAGAAATAATCAGAGAGAATCTTCTTTAGTTTACGAACACTGGAGATAATAATAATAACCATACGCATATTACAGGGATCTAGTTAAAAAATAATAAGATAGAATCTCCTTTAGTTTACGAACACATGAGGCAATAATAATAAACATACGCATATTACACGGATCTACTCGTAATATGAAAGCAACTCCTTTAGTTTACAAACACTAAGATAATAATAATAACCATATGCATATTACAGGGATCTAGTTAAAGAAATAATGAGAAAGAATCTTCTTTAGTTTACGAACACTAGAGATAATGATAATAACCATATGCATATTACAGGGATCTAGTTAAAGAAATAATCAGAGAGAATCTTCTTTAGTTTACGAACACTGGAGATAATAATAATAACCATACGCATATTACAGGGATCTAGTTAAAGAAATAATGAGAAAGAATCTCCTTTAGTTTACGAACACTAGAGATAATGATAATAACCATATGCATATTACAGGGATCTAGTTAAAGAAATAATCAGAGAGAATCTTCTTTAGTTTACGAACACTGGAGATAATAATAATAACCATACGCATATTACAGGGATCTAGTTAAAGAAATAATAAGAAAGAATCTTCTTTAGTTTACGAACACTAGAGATAATGATAATAACCATATGCATATTACAGGGATCTAGTTAAAGAAATAATCAGAGAGAATCTTCTTTAGTTTACGAACACTGGAGATAATAATAATAACCATACGCATATTACAGGGATCTAGTTAAAGAAATAATGAGAAAGAATCTCCTTTAGTTTACGAACACTAGAGATAATGATAATAACCATATGCATATTACAGGGATCTAGTTAAAGAAATAATCAGAGAGAATCTTCTTTAGTTTACGAACACTGGAGATAATAATAATAACCATACGCATATTACAGGGATCTAGTTAAAGAAATAATGAGAAATAATCTTCTTTAGTTTACGAACACTAGAGATAATGATAATAACCATATGCATATTACAGGGATCTAGTTAAAGAAATAATCAGAGAGAATCTTCTTTAGTTTACGAACACTGGAGATAATAATAATAACCATACGCATATTACAGGGATCTAGTTAAAGAAATAATGAGAAAGAATCTTCTTTAGTTTACGAACACTGGAGATAATGATATTTTTTTATAGGAGAGGGGGCAAACGAGCATGGGGCTCACCTGTTGGTAAGTGACTACCGCCGCCCATGAACAGCTGCAACAACAGGCAGGGAATCGCAGATGCGTTGCCGGCCTTTTAAAAAGGTGTACGCTCTTTTCTTGTAGGTCTCTAAGTCGTATCGGTCCGGAAAAATCGCTGATGGTAATCGATTCCACAAGGAAGTCGTGCGAGGAAGAAAACATCTTCTAAATCGCACAGTGGTGGACCACCAAACATCCATATGGTGTGGATGGTATCGGGAGTTCTGCCGCGATGTGCGTTCGTGAAATTTGGCGGCTGGGATTAATCCGAACAATTCCTCAGAGCACTCCCCGTGGAATGCCAATGAATGAATTTTGAATAAACGATTTTGATTTTGATTTGATTTTGAATCGAGCCGATCGGAAAGGACTCGGTCGTCGAAGATTCGAGCCGCTCTGCGCTGGATGCGGTCAAGTGGAAGGAGCTGGCAGTGGGGAGCCCCTGCCCAGAGATGGGAACAGTATTCCATGTGAGGCCGAACCTGCGCCGAAAGTTGCAGGCGGTGTGCCGGCATGAAATACTGTCCCGCTCTGCTGAGCACGCCAAGCTTTTTAGAGGCCAATTTGGCCTTCTTTTCCAAGCGACCACGAAACTGCACGTCACTCGATATGTCGACTCCGAGGATTCCGATACTGGCTGAGGCAAGAAGGGGAGTGCCTTGAAACTGAGGAGATACGACAAAGGGGTTTTTTTTAGCGGTAAACGCGCAAACTTGTGTATTCTGAGGATTAAACTGGACTAGATTTAGTCGCCCCCAATCCGAGACTTTGTTCAGCAAAGACTCGACTTCAGACACAAGTTTGTTCCGGTACTTGGCGACCTTTTCCCGAGAAATATTGGCACGGCCGGTGTATAGAGCATCACCAGTGCTGTCATGCGCATAGCAATGAATGTTACCAGTTAGCAACATATCATTGATATGCAGAAGAAACAGCGTTGGTGATAGCACACAGCCTTGTGGAACACCAGCGTTAATAGGCTTGTAGTCGGAGCATGCACCGTCTACAACGACCTTGATGCTCCGATCTGCAAGGAAGCTGGTGATCCAATCGCACAATTTCTCGGGAAGCCCATAGGAAGGGAGCTTCGAAAGAACAGTGGTAGAGCCACGCGGCAGCTTTTGCTGTCACATGGATGGGCCGGCTCGAACCGGGGTGGTACCACGACCTCACATAAAACCAGCGTGAAGTAGAGGTTTACCTCTGCGTTTCGCTTGGTGAGTGCAGGTGGCCGGAGGCCCTTTTTACTGGAAATGAGGCATTCCATCTTAGTCCTCACGGGTGACAACGCATCTACATTTTGATTTGTAACAGAGGATAGATGTAGATGTCTATGGGCCGCAGCAACCACTTACCATCAGGTGGATGATAGCGAGAAATAGGCCCAACTGGGCGCCTGTATTTTCCTTGCTATGATATGACAGATTCGCAGTTTATAGTTTATTGTGGAAATGATTCGACGTTACCGGAGATTCTTCTATCTAAGGCATCAAAACAAGTGACTTCCTGCATAGCGAGCGGCTGCATACTACACATAGTCAGATTTTTGCTACAGACGCTTGTGAAAAATGTCAAAATTCACTCGTATCAGAAGAAAGAAATCATTTTTATAATTATATTATAATGAAAGATGATGAAAAGAAGAGGTGGTCTTATAAATCCATCAAATGACGTAATAGAAATTTGCATAAAAGCGGAAATAATAATTTAAAAAAACATATCTTCCAAAAAAGAATGGCATTATTATGATTCTTAGTTTAGTTACTGAGACCTTGAAGTTGTTCATAGGAAAATATATTTTTACGTGTCTTCATGAACACCTATTCCATCAATCGCCATGCACCCATGCAGCAACCATTTGGTTCATTTATTGCTTGCTGTCATTCAAAAATAGATTGATACTAGCTCGCCAGGCAAACGTTCTGCCCTTTCCGACGAACCTTCCTATAAAAATCCTAAAATTCGCAATAAAAAAATTTGAGGTTCATTTAGTGGGATAAAAATGCACACAGTGTGCAAAATTTCAATGAAATCAGTTCAGTAGTTTAGGAGTCCATCGCGGACAAACAACGTGACACGTAATTTTTATATATAAAGATTAGAATAAAATATTATCTTGTTCACAAAACTAAAAAAAGTTAAAAATAATTAGCTGTATAATAAATTGAACCTTTTTAAGGGGCAGTAACTTAATCAGATTTTTGTTTATTTAATAATCATCGTTTTATAAATTCATTCCTGTTTTTATTGACTTAACATATATTTACTTACCTACCCAATATTTACTAAATACTTACTACTACTATTACTTTTATTTAAGTAACTAATTAAAATTATAAATTTAATGAAATTAACATAAGCGTCAATCATGGCGCATCACTATTTAACCGCTTCATCTATATACATATCAGTATCTATAGAACACCTGTTTACACTTGATCGCTACGCGCGCTCTGTAGCTTGCTTATAAACATCGATCACTAATAAATATTCTTAGGTGTGACTGAACCCCTGAACGGCTGAACCGATGATACGAGAATAGTTTTCATTCACAATTGGACCCGGTAGGTGGCGGATCGCTAGTCTATGTATATAAACTAAACTTTTAACAATCTAGACAAACGTTGGTGATTCTTTTATTTTTTTTAATATCATAAGTATCATAAGCCCAGCAGTTTTAAACATAACATAATATACGAAGGTGGATTGAAAAGTACTCGGCCTAACACAGATCCATTCAATTCTAAAAATCAAATCTACCCACATTATTTAGTTCAGTTCAGACTAGTTCATTGTGTGAAGTTCGAAACGTGTGCGATAATTAGTTGTGATTATGGAGCAAATCGAGCAGCGTGCCGTCATTAAGTACCTCCATAAGAAGGGGCTATCATCAAAAGCCATCCATGATGACATGGTCAGTACATTAGGCGATTGTGCTCTGTCATATTCATCCGTCAAAAAATGGATAGCAGAATTTAAGCGTGGTAGAGAGAGTGTGAAAGATGAAGCCCGCTCTGGAAGGCCTTCGACGTCAACTACTGACGAAAATATTAAAAAAGTACTTGATTTAATAATGGGAGACCGCAGATTAAAAATTTGAGAGATAGCCGAGATTATAGGCATCTCTTATGAACGAACTCAAAACATCATTGTCAACGAGTTGGGTTTCCACAAGGTGTCTGCGAGGTGGGTTCCGCGACTGCTTTCAGTTGAACAAAAAAGGACGCGATTGACTATTTCACGCGACTGTTTAGAGTTATTTGAAGCCGATGCAGATGATTTTTTGAATCGTTTTGTTACTATGGACGAAACATGGGTTCATTACTGTACACCGGAAACAAAACAACAATCAAAACAGTGAAGAAGACCTGGTTCACCACCCCCTAAAAAGGCTAAGTCGATTTTGTCGGCAAATAAGGTGATGGCTTCAGTATTCTGGGACTCGAAAGGTGTGATTATGATTGATTATCTTGAAAGGGGTCAGAATATAAACTCTGATTACTACTGCACCTTACTACGTCGTTTACGAGAGGAAATAAAAGAAAAACGTCGAGGAATGCTCAGAAGAAAAGTCCTGTTTCATCAAGATAACGCCCGTGTTCACACGTCAGTACAGTCAATGGCTGAAATTCACAACTGTGGCTTTGAACTGTTACCGCATCCGCCGTATTCACCTGATCTGGCACCATCAGACTTCTTTCTGTTCCCTAACCTAAAAAAGCACTTGGGAGGTCAAAGATTTTCGACAAACGACGAGGTCAAAGCAGCTGTAGACGCATATTTTGACTCTAAGGAAGAATCATTTTTTTTCAACGGTCTAAATGCTTGGAAGGGGAGGTGGCAAAAGTGTATTGAACTTGATGGTGATTATGTAGAAAAATAAAAATATAACTGATTTAGTATTTGTTTATTTTCTTGGTTAGGCCGAGTACTTTTCAATCCACCCTCGTACATATCTTAAAATGCAAGCTTTTAACGGTTATCAAAAATTCAAGTAATATAAATCACAATTCATCTCTCTAACCTTGATATCGATGGGGATGGCACAGTAACCCTGATAGCGATGCGCAGCATGAGCCCTCGAGAACCGGTGGTATATCAACACACCCATAGAAATAAACAGCACAATCATCAATATTATGTTCATTAAGTGAAAGAACGTTGTCATTGTTTGCCGCAGAGGTGAAGGCGCTGGACGCCGACGCGGCGGTGCCGGCGGCGGCACCGCTATCTTAGCCTGCAAACAAATTTTCATATTATGCTTGTTACAGACAGGCAGTGACCTAAAATAATTATTATTATTGGTGTGTAACATCTTTCCTCTCGCTTTCTCGTAATCTGTGAGAGACGACAAAGACGAGAAAGAGACGAAAGTGTGTAACAGGAAGCCTGGGAAGCGCGCGCTAATTGATTTGACCAATTAGCGTAAGTTTTGAGATACACAAAAAGTATTCTAGATACTATTAATATTTATTTTACATCTTTTCAAAATATTCTCCATTATGCTCTATACAAAGTTCCATTCGCCTAAACCAACTCTGAAAACACCTTTGCCAGTCTTGATCTGACAGGTCGGAAATCGCTTCTTCGTAGGCAGCCACGGCTTCTTCGGCGCTTGAAAAAAACTTTTCTTTTATTTATTTCTTTCACTCTTGGGAACAAAAAGAAATCACAAGAAGCAAGTCAGGGCTGTAGGGTGAGTGACTTAGAGTTTCAACACCAGATTCCTCAAAAAATGCTTTTGTTCTAAGAGAGCTATGTGAAGAGGCGTTATCGTGATGCAGCATGATTCCCCGAAGCCCTGTCTTTGGGCTACTCTCCTGCACAGCTTGAAAAGCTTTGGGTAATGCAACTGTAGTATACCATTCAGAGTTAACTAACCTACAATTTTCCAGCATTGACGTCGACAAATGTCCGCTCCGCCAAAAAAAAACTAGCCACCATTTTTTTGCTGACCCATTTTTTTGGGTAGACCTACCAATGATTGCCTTTTATTTTCCGAATCATATTGATAGATCCATGTCTCGTCACCAGTAAAGATTTCGGAAACACGCCTAGATGCCCCGTTTTCAAAACGTAGAGGCATTTCATGGCACCAATCCACACGAGTCAGTATTTCGCTTTCGGAGAGCAAACGAGGGATCCATCGACAACAAAGCTTCCTCACTCCAAGATGTTGATGTAGAATGATATGAATGTTCCCCGAACTAATGCCTACAATCTTTTCGATGTCCGTATATGTGATTCGTGGGTCTTCTCGCACCAACATTCCAGTAGTCGATACATTTTCTGCCGTTACTGATGTTTGCGGCGCCCCGGTTCTTTGGTCATCTTTAAAATTAATTTTACCCCTTTTGAATTCAGCAAACCACCTAAAAATTGTTGCGCGTAATGGAGCTGAGTCACCTAATGCTGATTGTAACTGTTGTAAACTTAATTTTTTGGTTAATCCGAATTTAAAATCATAATATGTCATAGCGCGGAAATCTTCACGGCTAAGATCCATCGTTTTAAATGAAAAGCGCGGGAAGCGTTGCAGGAAAATTAATAGAACAATGTTTTTTTTTTAATATTGAGCAATTGGCATAAGGAGTTCTATTTTTAAATAAATTTGCTTTTTAGAAACATATAGAATAGAATAGAATAGAATAATTTTTTATTCAATATTGATCATTACATAATACTTATTGAAAGTCATTTTTTATTTACCACTGGTTCGGAAAACACCCCAGTCCTGGGAAGAACCAGCAAGAAACCCAGAGGGACTTTTTTTTTCAATCATATTTCACTTAACAATAACTTCGTTTATACAACTTTTAAATGATTTTTCATAGAACCAGCATGGTGGCGATCACCTTATTCCCAGGGGTTATTTTCATTCATGTATTCCTTGATATTATAACCCTTTTTGTACAGTTTTTCTTTAATACAACTTTTAAACTTGTTTATTGACAAACTTTGAATATGTTCTGGGTTTTTGTTGTAAAAGCGTATACATTGCCCCATAAATGAATTACTGATTCTGTGGAGTCTACTAACTGGCATTACAAGCTTATGTTTGTTTCTAGTGTTTAAAGTATGCACATCCTTATTCTTTATTAAAGCTATTTATGTTTGGTGCACATACATTACATTGTCATAAATATATTGCGATCCCAAAGTTAATATGTTTATTTCTTTAAATTTTTCTCTGAGGGACTCTTTACAATTTAGGTTATAAATCGACCGTACGGCTCTCTTCTGCAAAACAAATCTAGCTTCAATATCAGTCGCATTACCCCATAGCAAAATTCCATAAGACATTACGCTATGAAAGTAACTAAAATACACTAATCTAGCTGTCTCAATATCTGTGAAACTTCTAATCTTTCTTACAGCATATGCTGCAGAACTAAGTCTGCTTACTAATTTAGATATATGGGGGCCCCATTGAAGTTTCGCGTCAATAGTAATACCGAGAAAAACGGTGGTATCCACAAGACTCAACTCCTCCCCATTTAACAGCACATTGGTATTCGAATGTTTTACATTAGGTATTGTAAATTTAATAGACTTTGTTATAATTTAATTATGCGTTCCATTTTTAAATTTCGAGCATCTCAAAACTTATTGAGTGACCTACGTAGTAAAGTGTGCTAACTAATAAACTAATTTATATGTGTAAACATTAGCACCTTCCAAATTTCGACGAAATCAATGGCTTTCTCATAGTCCACATATACAAGGTAATGTGGCAGATTGTAATCCTCGATCTTCTGTATAATTATCCGAAGGGTATGTAATATGTATGAGGTCTATGGTGCTAAAGCCTTTTCTGAAACCGGGTGGCTGGAAGTTGCCGTGTCTGCGTGCTAGACGATCCTAATTACTCTCGAAAACAGCACGTAGACGTGACTCAGGAGGGAAATCGGTCTGTAGTTCTTCAAGAGAGCGTCGTCGCCTTTCTTGAAGAACAAGACAAACCGCACTTCTGCTCCACGTCTTCGGTGTAGTGCCACCATGGAGGACGGAATTAAAGAGCTTCTGAAGAACTTTAAGCACCGGTTTTTCACCCGCTTTCAGAAGCTATGTAATTCCATTGTGTAATTCCACCCAAAAATATTCTGTATCTTTCTCTTCAAAATGACGATCTACCGCAGCTTTCATTTCGTAGTCATCTGTTAATCTCCGGCCCCGTAAGTCCTTTTTCAAATTGGAAAACAGGAAAAAATCGCTAGGTGCTAGGTCTGGGCTATACGGAGGGTGGTCAATCTCTGAGAACCCTGTCTCTTTCAGGGATTGTCTCTCAACATGTGCAGCGTGAACGGGCGTTGTCTTGCAGAAAGAGCATTCCGCGCGTCAGTTTCCTACGTCGTTTCTGTACAATAGCCTCGCGAACCTGAGTCAATAAATGGGCGTAATATTAGTCATACATCGTAATTCCCGTGGGTAGGTAGTCGATAAGTAAAATTCCCTCACTATCCCAGAAAACAGTCGCCATTAGCTTGGACGCCGACTTTTCCAGCTTGAATTTCTTCTGAGGCCTTTCTCCTTTTTTTATCCATTGCATGGACTCTTGTTTGGACTCCGGATCATATTGGCGAATCCATGTTTCATCTACAGTGACTATGCGTTGCCAAATGTCTTCCTTGTTATCGTCGACTAGCTCCAAAAAATCTTTGCAACTTGCGAGTCGACGTTGCCGGTGTGAGTATTTTCAGTAGCCAGCGCGCGCTAATTTTTCTCATATTTAAATGTTCATATAAAATTTCTCCAACTCGTTATTTGCTAATTTGCAGTTCTTCAGCAATCTACCACAATTTAATTCTGCGGTCGGTCAGAACGATTTACTATCGACCTTTTCTTTGGTAAGTACCGTGGAGGGCAGCCCGGGCGATGGTCGTCTTCACAGCTTTCTCGTCCTTGTTGAAATCTGCGGGCCCATTTTTTCACCATCGTATATGAAAGCGCAGAATCCTAAAGAATCGATGACATCTCTTCAAAAATGTATATCGGTGTATATTTTATCGCGGCGCGGTGTTCAAAATTCCGAGAATTTCCGGATTCGGCTGACATGGTGATGTTTGTTGTTCAATAAATAATTGAACTATGAGTGCAATGTCCTGCCGCATGCATTTGGAGATTCGTGTGTTCAGTTGCTTGTATGCTGAAGACTGCAGCTTCATTTCCCGTCTAACAGCCATAAGATTAAGAGTGTGCTCAGAGTTTTTGGGTTCTTCTGCTGCGGATCTTGCAAAAATTAGTTCCGACCGCATGGACATGATAGTTTTCAGGACTTTGAATTAGAGCACGAGGGGGACGAAGCGGTAGCTTCATTAGATGTAACTTGGAGAATCCCTCGCTGAGCTTCCACGACCAAACTACTCCACTCCTGAGCGTGGGTGCTCAGGCTGGCCCGCGTATTCAGGGGGGGGGGGGGGTCAAAATTCCGCTCGCGACTCTGTTTTTGACGCCTCGGCAGTCTTGAAGGTACGGACCTCTGTCCATCCTATGGCTGCGCGTAGACAGCGACGACCATCCCCGCGTCTACGGGTGCCTCTATAGGTCCCATAGCGGTAATGCAGACACAAGACCGACTTATCGCTTACATCCAAATGGCTTGCTACAACAGGTCGCATACGCAGAAATCGTGATACTCGGTGATTTTAACGCCCACCACGCCGTATGGCTTGGTTTCCATTTAACCGATCATGCGGGTAGATTTATAACTTTGCCTTGGCATATGGTCTAACACAACTGGTTACTTCGCCTACGCGGATCCCAGATGTGGAGGATCATGTACCTTCCCTGTTGGACTTTCTGCTGACCTCTCATCCGGACGGATATCAGGTCTCCGTCGATGCCCCTCTGGGCTCTTCAAACCATTGTCTGATCCCGAGTACGGTCCCACTCACGCTCCCATCGCAGTTGCGATCTGCAGTTTGTCGTCGTGTTTGGCACTATAGGCCGGCCGATTGGGACGGGATGCGCTTTTTTGCATCCTAACCTTGGGGGCGGGTTTGCTTCTCGCCGGAAGATCCCAGCGTTGTTGCCGATTCTGTTGCTGATGTGGTACTTCATGGTATGGAACTTTTAATTCCAACCTCTGTGGTGCCCATCGGAGGCAGATCCCAGTCATGGTTTGGTCGCTCCTGTAAAATAGCATCACGCTATAAGCAGGAGTGCTACAGGACCTGCGACCTGCCTGACGACGAAATCTAGTCCAGTTTAATCCTCAGAACACACAAGTTTACGCGTTTACTGCTAAAAAGAACCCATTTGTCGTATCATTTCAAGGCACTCCCCTTATTGCCTCAGCCAGTATCGGAATCCTCCGTGTCAACATATCGAGTGACGTACAGTTTCGTGGTCATTAGGAAGAGAAGGCCAAATTGGCCACTAAAAAGCTTGGCGTGCTCAGCAGCGCGAGACAGAATTTCATGCCGGCACACCGCCTGCAACCATACAAGGCGTAGGTTCGGCCTCACATAGAATAATGTTCCCATCTCTGGGCTGAGGCTCCCCAGTGACAGCTCCTTCTACTTGACCGCATCGACCGGCTTAAATCGTCAATGACCGAGTCTTTTCCGATCGGCTCGATTCACTGATGAGGGAGCTGATGATGAAGAGATGTTGCATCCTTTTACAGTTTCTTTCGCATCAACCACGGGGAGTGCTCTGAGGAATTGTTCGGATTAAAGACTTGTGGACGATAAAACCAACACCTCCTTGGAACAGATGGTCGCCCTCCCGGCGATAGAAGAAGTTGCCGGATTCGAGGATTAGACATGTCCGCCCCCTCTCTTCGGACCTTGGATAATCCTATAATATTCCAGTGCAACTTGTCTATCTCTTCTTTCAGCTCCAGTATCCTCCCGTCAGTCCTCAGGATGCATGCGTTATATGTTGCTGAGTTAAGACATCTTAGGTGCCAACCGAATCTCCATTGGAGATTCTTAGCACCTACATTACATTGCGTATTAACATATTTTTTTTGTTACTACATTATAACAGCATTTTATTGAAAACAATATGATAGCCTTTATTTTCATTCTATGTCGTTTATTTAATCTTATCAAATCCTCTAAAACATAAATTGGGAGCTGGGAATCCCACCTGCAGCCAACTTACGAGGGTGACACTGAAAGTTCTTAAAAAATCAATAACTGAACAAACTAGCAAGTTTTTAGCTTTATTATAACTTTTCAAAATAGTTTCCATTTACATCAATACATTGCTGCATCTGATAGAACCACTAAGAAAAACACTTTGCCCACTCGTCCTTAGGGGTCTCTTCAACAGCATTTTGAAACACAGGGACTGCTTCCTCGGCGTCCATAAAACATTTTCCTCAAAGTTTTTCTTTTATTTTTGGAAATAAATAAAACACACAAGGTGCAAGTTCAGAGCTATAAAGCGGGTGAACCAGCAATTCCACGTCTGATGTCACCAAGTAGACGATTGTTTGCTTGGCGGTGTGGGACGAGGTGTTGTCATGGTGAAGAAGGATCCTATTGCGAGGTTGTTTATCCCGAACTTTTGTAAGACAAGTGGCATACAATTCTTAGTGTACCACTCTGCAGTAACTGTTTTTCGATCCTCTAAAACAATTTTTGTGTAATGACCTGTCCTTCCGAAGAACGAGGCCACCATTTTTTTTCCCACACTTTGACCTCTCTTCACTTTAGTTAGCAACTCCTCTGAAGGAAACACCCAAACAGCAGACTGTCTCACAGTTTCAGGATTAAAACAATAAATCCAGCTTTCGTCACCCATAAGTATGTCGAACACAGCATTTGAGCCACCTCCGTTAAATCCTTGAACCATTTCACAACACCAATCAACACAACGGAGTTTTTGGGCCTCTCTCAAATCATGAAGTATCTACAGAGCACAAAGCTTCCTGACCACTAAATGTTCATGGAGTATTTTGTGCACTTGACTCATACTGATGCCTAAGCCAAAGAAGGCCCTGTGCCCATAATTTGTTTCTTTAGTTATGATAAATTGACAGTCATTTGTATGGTGGTAAAATCAAAAGACAAAAGGTTTGAAAGCAAGGATATGTACTGGCTAACTATAATTTATAGATATGTCAGTATTTTCCAAGTGGGTTAGATGTATGGAAGTACTAATATGGTGAAATGAAATACACTGAAAAGATTAATAACAGTACTATAGAATAAATATTATATATTAAAGAATAGATATAATATGTAGTTTTTGATTCTTTCTAACATGTCCATCACAGTGTGTGAGAGTAACCACTATAATATCATGTACCTAAAACTTTTATTTCAACATCTTCCAAAAGGAGGAACCCATACGTAAAATGTAGCCTATTTCCTTGTAAATGATAATGATGCGTAAAAAGATATTTTTTACTAAACAAAGAATCAAAAACTTTAATATGGAGATTGAAATGTATACTTTAAATAATATCTAACTAATAAATAAGGATCCTATTATTTAATTTAGGTCAATCATTGTTATCTACTGGTCTAACATTATTGATTTTTTGGCTGCAACAAAACAATAGAATATGAAATAAACATATTAAGCCCCAAATACTTATGGATTTCGAAATTCGCAATGTGCAATAGAAATCTATGTAAGGTACTAATAATTTCAGCATAATTAATAAAACCTGCAAAAAAATTTTGCGCAGTATTATAAAATCATATTTACCTCAGGACATACAGTTTCCACAACTAATGGTGTTTTAGAGCTTTCAGCTTTATTCGCGATAATACTCGGCTTTGTAAACACAGTCATATTCGATATGCACTTTAACTTCCACCACAAACAGAAATACAATAATCAAAAAGTTTACAGACTATTTTTAAGCACCTCTATCGATCGATCTAGGGACTGCACCCTGCACTTAAATTAAAATGAAGTTAGCAACTTAGCAATGTTATCAAGGACAAGGACCCGTGGAATTGTAGACCAATCGTCGTTTCGTAAACTGAAAATCGTCCAATCAAGGTTATGTTTCAAAACTAGTCCAATCTCTAATCGATTGAATTTCACATAACTTCACCTCAGTGCATAGACATAGTATCTTATAGACAAAACATTCAGTGACGTCATCTGCGCGTGAAAGGAATGCACGTATATAGTTAGACATAAGAGTAAGGGAGAAGCAAAACAATATTTCTTGTCTTTTTCTAAGTATACGTTTTTGATTGTTTTTCCTCCTTTATTTGACATTAACGATGTCAAGCGTTTGTTATTATCATTAATATCTGTTGTTTTGAATATAAAGTGTCACATTTCATATTTTTAATGAACTTTGTGATGTATTTTGTCAAATATTTCGACTCCCAAATTGTAAATTCTTCATGATAATAATCCTTAATTTGAATGGTCATTGCAAAGCTTAAAGTCATAACAAATGTGTACTTTTTGACTTGGTAGGATTATGGAAACTTTAGGGATATCATCGAGTACAATAATGTTTTCCCATTGTTCAATAATAATTATTATTGTGATTAGTAGTTATGTACATAAATATGAATCACATAATGTTATACATATGCATACACTTTTATGTTCAGCTTTAAAGGAAACTCTCCTTATTGGGCAATAATATTCAACTCTTCAATCATTTTCTATATTAATAGATGTCACAAATAATATGTAATTATCAACCTGAAAACATGTTTGGGTTCAAGTACATAAGTATTGGACAAAGTATATTTAATTTCACAAAATATGTATTGCCTGAAATCACATGCACAAAACTTTATTGTATTCCATTAATTCTATCATACATTAGCAACAATTACATTACAATATTTATTAAAAAAATAAATAAATATGTCATACTAATATAAAAATAAATATAAACATAGATAAAATAATAAATAAATAAATAAGTCTTAATCTTAAGGTACACAATAACACAACAACATAAGATAATATTCTCAATTAATGATGTAGAAAAAATTTGATGATAATATATTTACCGTTACTATTAGTCGTTATCAAAAGTCACAAGTTATAAGGTTTTATGATTGTTGTCTTGCTTGGCAGGAGGTTTTTCAACTGCAGTTATTTTGCAGACAAACTATGTGGGAGGTCTCTGTTCTGTGGAGGACATTTTTAGGCTGTAAATGTATTAATTAACAATATCTAAAGCTTAATATGTACATTTTTTTTAAATGTTTGGTATGAATAATATTATAATTACATTTACATATACCTGCTATTTATTAAATCAATTGATATTGTATTAATTGTTATAGGTATTGTATTTATGCACAGATACTCATACTTGATTTTTTTAAATACCTTGATATAAAAGTGTACTATATATTTAATATATTAATTTCTTTTAAATATATTATTTTACAGCTTTCCTAAAGCATCAGCTATCCGTAATTGCTGGATAATCGCTACTGTTGGTGATTATAGATAACCAACAAAACTTAGTAGTGTATGCTCAAAACATTTTAAGCCTCATTGTTTTAGGCGGACTAAATATGCTTAATTTATGTAATTTATAATATAATTAAGATAAAATATTTAAAATGTTATAATTTATTGTTGTATCTTGTTGTTTCCCCATAAGTAATATAAGTTTGACCTTGTTGGTAATTATGATTTTTTACATTGTGCTGCACGTATTAAAAATTGAATAGCATTGCTTAATTTATTTATGGTTCTTGACTTTTTATTTTCAAATTTCTCTGTTATCATTCTGTATTATTATGACTTGTAATAATTTTATAGTAATTTATATTAATTTTCTTTGTGTAATTTGATTGCATGACAATGACAAAATATTTAATTATAGATAGATTGATTAAACACAAATTCTCATTTACAAATGTAGGAACTTTATCTGTACTACCATGTTTTATGCAAGTAAAGATTTAAATAAAATAAATAAATAATTTTAAGTCCTGACTTAAATATACAAATGAATAATTTATTATGCAATAATAATTGTAAAACTGACTGGAAATGCCTACCAACGAGATATTTAGTCCCCCCTTTATCCTTTTTATAAAGGTGTTATAAATAATAATGTGGAAATAAATTAAGAAATAAATAATTTATTAATAATAATTTCCATTTAATTGACATAAATAATGTAATAAAGATGTTTTTGACAAGAGATAGGTATTACCTATGTAAGTATAGTTTAGGAGTTGTACCTTATTATTTATACCACTAAAATATATTATATACAAGGCATATAATATATATATATATATGTATATATATATATATATATATATATATATATGTACTGCCTTCTAATCAGATTTTAACAACCAGCACCCAAGAGTTTCTGCCATGCAAAATTATAAATCAAGTTTATAAATGCATATTTTTGAGAAATTCTAAAGAATTACACCGAATGCTCTAGAAAGAAGACAAAAATTTTGTTGTTTATTAATGTGATAAAAAATTAATAATTTTAATTTTATTGGATTATATTTAATATTATAATTGTATTTTCATTTGTTTTACTTAATGTAACATTGTTAATATTTGTAAATTTTGTGTAAGTACACAAAATTTAGTCCTTTTTCCTTTACAGTCTATCTAAAGTCCACTGCTGAACATAAACATGAACATAGTTATTTGCCATAGTTGCTTCGCTTGGCAACCACTGTTTTTTTTTATATTTAGCTGTTCATCAGGAAAATGCTGCCGTTAATCTTCTTAGTTTTATTCTTGTGTTTATTTTAAGTTTTCATCAGGAAAGTGCTGCTGCCCCATCCCCATCTTGTATTATTGCTTACGACGCGGGGGGAGTATCATCCCGTGTATAGACAAATTCTCTTGTATGCCACAACTTGCTGCACACAAGCCACTAACCTTATTAAGACATGCAGGAAATCGCGGAAGTTGGCTCACAACCGTGTTTTGTACTACAAAACCTAAGTGAAAATCTTTTCCTTTCGGAGGTCTGTGTTCAGCACTGAACTTGTGATGGATTCGTATGTTAAAACATTATTGAGTTTTAGCAACATAAAATTCGACAGGAGGAAAGTTTTGATAATTAATTACCTAATATTTAAGTACATATTTTACATACTCCTACTTATTAGCGATATCACACTTTGTGCGTTTTCACTTAGTGCCGTCGATATCCAAAGAGTTTATTAAATGTCGAGTAAAGTCGTCGTCGATGCGCCGTTGAATTCGGAATGATGATTCTGTTTTTACGTTGTTTCCGCCCGTAGTTTTTAGTCACAGAATGTATTTTCAAGATAAATGAATTAATCATCTGAATTATAAAAGAACATTTTTTTATGGTAACAAATAAGTTTTTTGTATGAATTAAGTTCTGTGAATATAAATAAACCCAGATTGGGGGAAATGGAATAATATCTGGTAACCCAGGGAAAGTACCTCCCGCCTATTTCTATCTCAAAAGCATACGCGAATGCTTTATCTAGTCAATCCTCTATCTACGCCTCAGTGCTGCAGCCACAGACTAACTAGTAGAGTATTAGATTCTAAGTCATAGACATAGTATCAATCCTCTATCTATCTACGTCTAAGTCTAACCGAATCAGACGGATATCTCACGAACGAAACTTACTCGACTTAGCTTCTGCATCCTGATTGGTTGTAGCAAAATGATATCTGACATTTCTTTTTTTTTTTAATTTGAAGCAAATATACCAGGCAAAGTACGTCCCAAATAAGTTCATTTATTAATTACTTGCAAAGGAGACGGTCCATTTCTGGCCCAGTCTATGAACAGTATACCGTAAAAAAAGAGAAAAATTCAGAGATTTGGTTCAAAATAAAATGAGAGAATAAATCAAACTAAATAACTTGCTACAAATACAAATGCAATCCCAAGTTTTTGATGGTTTTACAAGATAGTGCCCTTCCAGTCATAAAAAAAGTAAATAAGACTCGGTTATTTGTCAAATGTCATTTCTATCACATGATATTTTTATTTATTGCGAGCTTGGTTGTGTTGTTTTGAACTCGTGAATGCATTTAATTGTGGATTTCTTTGGCGATTTTATTTTTTGTTTGTACATTATATCAGTTACTACTTGTAGGACTCTGCTTTTGTTTTATGGACTTAATGATTTACGTAAGATTTTGATTTCGTTGATATCGGACATCTGTATCCTGTAGAATCATATCGATGGCTCCTAAGTACACTATCGTATGTTCAAAAACCGAACTTTACAGGAGAGCCATTTAAAGATATTTTAGTTGGTAGCTCTGCTGTACTAAAAGCCACTAATTAAATTTTTCACCATATGTATATAATTTTGAAAGCATTCATATGATTTAAAATTAAAGTGTGAATTAATAAAAGTTTTAGAGATATTGTTGTTATCATATTTTACGGCGGATATACATAGTGCTAAAAATCGTAAGTGATACATACAATTGCTTACATCGTAGTTCAGTTAATCAAAAATATCGTATGTGTTATTAACGCCATTATACTTGGGCACAAATTAATTATTTTTGTAGGTATATTACATATACCATGTTTTACCTTGTACACCATAATAAATTTGATTATTGTTTCTTTATAAAAAATATTTATGGAAGAATACTGAATACTATTTCGATCCAAAAATTATGAACTTATTACTGGGTAGTTAAAATCATAGGTTTTATTTAATGATATCTTATATTTACGCGAAAACTACACATAAATTGAAACAGATTTTTATTAAAAATTTTAAATCAAACGCCATAAAATCGGTAAAATTAGTTTCATTTAAGGTGTTATTATTTTTTACTATTTTAGGCTGCAATTGTCTTAATAACTTATA